TATTAAAAACAAAAATATTAAAAACAAAAAATAAAAAATGTAATCTAATTCATAGTCAGAGAAATATCATCAGAATTTGTTTCAAATGCTTTATCAAAATCATTGTTTTCTTCAGTACAATTAATTTTTTCATCTTCCCATTTGTCATTATCATTCTTTTTATTATTTTTCATTTCAACTTCTTCTATATCAAACACTGAAGTTGTTTTATTAGTTAGTTTTTCCTTGAAAAACCCATTTAACAATCCTAATGGTAACGATACCAGTCCAAGTAAAATACAAACTCCCCACTGCGTTAAACTAATTCCAGGGTATGGCTTCACACCAAATGTAGCACCAGAAAAAATAACAATTGACATTTGAACAATAATTTGGAGTAGTTCTATTCCAATAAAGATATAATTAGTAAAAATACCTTTAAATACATCAGTTTCTCCATTTACTCTTCTTGAATTAACTTCATTAAAAATTTGACAAAATACAAAAGTATTAAAAATAATAGTTTGTAATGTTATAGTGTCTTCTTGAACATCAATGATAGTATGCTTTTTATTGTCATTACAAATATACTCTTTTCCTGGATAATCTTCAATAGTACTAATATACCCACAAGGTGCAGAAATAAATTTAAATGTTGATCCAAAGAATAAAACAGTTAGTAATATTCCCAATTGATACGTAACTTGTATTGCAACCTTAATTAACATTTGTTTTGATAATAAACTGTCTGTCCTTTTAAATGGCTTTCGTTTTAATAAGTCTATTGTAGGCTTTTCAGTCCCAAGTGCTAATGCAGCTAATGTGTCCATAATTAAATTAACCCATAACATTTGCATTGAATTTAATGGAGAACCCATCTGGCAAATTGACCCAATTACACAAAGTGCAAGTGCAACAATATTAACAGTAACCTGGAATTGAATAAATTTTCTAATATTGTCATAAACACATCTCCCCCAAATAACAGCTTTCACAATAGAATTAAAATTATCATCTAAAATAACAATGTCAGCTGCTTGTTTTGCTACATCAGTCCCTCTTAATCCCATAGCAAGAGCAACATCAGCTTCTTTAAAAGCAGGAACATCATTGGTGCCATCTCCTGTAACAGCAACTACTTCACCTGCGATAAGTAATCGTTCAACTAATCTTTGTTTATCTTGTGGAGAACATCGTGCCAATATTTTGAGTCTTGGCAAAATTCTATCAACACCTTCATCGCTTAATAGAGAAAAATCTTTTCCCATCATAGCAATATCAATATTTCCAGAACAGTTATGGTCTTTATCAATAATTTGACAATCACCTACAATACCACATTCCTTAGCAATAGCTAGGGCTGTTTTTACATGATCACCAGTTACCATTCTAACACTAATTCCTGCATTTTTACAACTATCAATTGCATGAGGTACTTCTAATCTTACAGGATCACTAATACCAACTATAGCAAGTAAACAAGTATTTTTTATATTAATTTTTTCGTTATTTTGTGTATTGTTCCATTCTTGAAACTCTTTTTCTTCCATCTTTTTATAACTTAGAGCAATAACTCGTTTTCCTTTATTTTCCCATTGGTCAATAATTTGATTAATTTGATCTTTTTGGTCTTCATAAAATTCAGCTTCTTCTCCATTTTGATTTAAATAATACATACTTTCTCCAATAATGATTTCTGGAGCCCCTTTTGAATAAATACAATTATCACTAACTGTGTCCATTCTTTTATTTTCTGAATTGAATACCCATTGCCTTGAAATAGTATTAGTACTTCTTATTAATGATGGTGACATTGCTATCTTTTTTAAAAATAACAACAAAGCACAATCAGTTTCATTTCCAATGGCTTGATTAGATGACGTAATGTTAGATGATAATGATGTATTAATACCAATATTAACACTTAAATGATGAAGAAGTTCTCCTGTTATTGGTATTTTATTGGTTTGATCAACTTCTATAACTTCATTTCCAATCCAAATATTAGTTACACTCATTCTGTTCTCAGTTAAAGTTCCTGTTTTATCACAACAAATACAGGTAGCATTTGACATTGTTTCACATGCTTTTAAATGTCTTACTAAATTATTGTCTGCCATCATTTGTTTCATTGAATAGGCTAAAGACACAGTAACTGCTAATGGAAGCCCTTCTGGTACTGCAACAACAACAATAGTAACAGCAATAATAAAATAATCAACTAAATCAGTAATTCTCCACCAGTTAAATTTTGCAGCGACACAATTGGTTGTTTCTGTTGGAGAGCATAATTTACAATGGTCATCAGGTTGAACATATCCAGTAAATGTAATTGCTTTATAAAACCACCATAGTGTTAATACAATAAATACAATTGCAGCACAAAACATACCCATTTTACCAATATTTTCAGCCAATTCATCTAACCGTTCTTGTAATGGAGTAGGTCTTTGTTTGTCTTTATTAACATATCCTTTTAACTTTCCCCATTGTGAATTTTGTCCAACAGCAACAACAACCATTGTACCATTTCCATCAGTAACAGTACATCCTGATAAACAAACAAAATTGTTTTCTGATTTTTTTACAGAAGCAGATTCTCCAGTCATTTCTGATTCATCAATTCTAACTCCATTTCCTTTTAAATAAATACCATCAGCAGGTAATACATCTCCAACAGATAAATAAACAATATCTCCAACAACTAATTGAGAAGAAGTTGACTCCATTGGAACACCATCTCTAATTATTTTAACAGAACAATCAGTTTCTTTTGAAGCAATTTCAATAAACTTACTTTGTTTCGAATAATCATTCCACGCACCAATTAAACTAACGGCAAAAACTGCAACTAATATTGCAATTCCTTCATAGTAATCTGGTGGCTCCGTATCAATATTACTTGAACATTCTTTTTTAGCATGTGGTACAATAAAAGCCAATATAAGAGAAACAATTGCAGACGCAATAAGAATTAACAGCGTTTGATCACCAAGTGCGTCCTGCCATATTTCAAAGAAACTTTGTCTTTCAGCAGGGGGTAATAAATTATTTCCAAACTGTTGAACCCTTTTTGTAATCGAATTTAATGCTATTCCTTTCTTTTCATCTACATTTAATAATTCACATAAACCATGAATACCACCAAGTCTTTGATACTTTTCATTGTTTCTATGTTCAATAATATCTATTAACTCATTCCCTTTTATATTATAATGAATTGTGCTATCAACATGTCCGATTTCTGGCTTTTCTTTACTCTCTGTCATTTTCGCAAATCAGATCTGATTATTTTTATTACAAGTTTTCCATTTTTATTTATTCCAAAAAGTCAACATCTAAAAAGATCTTTAATTTTAATATAAATCTTTAAATAAAAGAAACCCTCAATAATTATACTTTTTAAAAATTATCACTTTTCAAACTAAATTATTAAAGACTAAGTTCATGACAAAAACACTAGAAAAGATGTTTTTGGCTAATGTCATTTTATATCTTGAGACATTAGAAACACTTTACCAATTTCAAATGATTAACTCTAAATGTTTTGATGCAGTTAAAATGTTAAGAATAAATCCAGGATTAAAACCTCAAAATATGATTAACAATCCCGAAGAAATGACATCAGTTGGTTATTCATTTACCAAGGAACTTCAATTCTTTCCTCTTCTTGAAACATTAAAACTAACTTTTTTCTCTCCATTGATTTTGTGTTGCATACCAACGTCAGTTAAACGAATTTATCTACAAAAAGAAATTGACGATGAACAGGTGAGTTTTTTATTACCATTAAAAGAAAAAATAGTAGAATTAAAATTATTTACTTATGACTCTCCTATAGATTTAGAACAATTCCCTTTGTTAACTAAAATTTCATTAAGGACTTATTGTTCTGTACCAACAACTACTAATTACCTTGAACAATTCTTTACCAACAAAAACCATAGATTTGAATTAGTTCATGTGAAGATGTTAAAATTTTTTGAAGAATCATTCATTCAAACATTAAACGAATATAATATTCGATCACTTGTAATTGACTTAAATGATTTAAATCAAATCAGAAAGGTACTTGATATTAGTACTAAATGTATACGAGATATTAAAATTTGTTGTAGTTCTTGGATAGAAGGACTTAACTCTAAAGTTGTAACTGTCAATGATAACTGGACGTACCAAAAAAATATTCAATTTGAGGAATTGTTAAAGGAGATGTATATTCCAAAACTTAATGTTATTAACTTACAAGAAATAAATTTGAAAAAATTTGATTTTTTAAGAAGTTTATCATTTGATAAATGTGAAGTGGATGCATTCAACCTCCCAAAAGAAATACATCATATAACATTAAAAGAAAGTGACATATTTCATATAGAACAATTAACTTCTTTACAAGAACTTATTTTAATAAATTGTACTTTTCTTTCTTCTTTACCAATTCATTGTACAAAATTAAAAATGGATCAATGTCTATTTAACATACCAAAAATCCCAATAGATAATGAACTAAAAGAATTAGACTTATTTAAATCAAATGCAGATATTTCTTACTTTACGAATCTAACCAATCTTTGTTTTAATTCAATCAAGATAAGCAATAAATTACCTAAAATGAACCAACTAAAAAGGTTATCATTTACACGTTGTGTTATAAAAATACAGATTGATGTTCCTTCTTCAGTAACTTATTTTTGTATTTCCACTATGAGTGATAAAATGATCTCTCTTTCTGAAGCTAAAAATATTAAAAGAATAAAATGTGTAGATATAGTAAATGAAATTAACTTAGATGAATTATATTATTATCCTGTTCATCAAAAAGTTGGAAACCAATTGCAAAATATTATTGAAAATGCTAATGAATTAATTTGTACGCCACTAATAATTAATGACTTTATTTCAAAACCAAACAAAATAAAAAAGCTTATCCTTATTTCACAGTCTTCTGTACATACTATTAGTTCTATGATCATCGACTTACATTCATGGGAAAGTTTAAATGAACTTTGGATTGAAACGTCAGATAACAAATTTATTTTACCAATTACATTAAAGAAATTACTCATTAAGTCTTGTTACAATATTATCATTAATAATTTAGAAGATATACTATTGAAAGAAGTTTATCTGGAATGTAATACATCTATTATTCCTCATCTTAATTCCTCTGTTGAAAAACTTTATTTTGATACATACAATAAAGAAGTTAATATTCAACTCCTTAAACGTTTCCCACATTTATTTTCAATAGAATAAGTATTAATTATTAAATTATTTTGTTTATGTCAAAAGAAATTACTGAAACATCAAAATCAATTATTATTTATTTTATAAAAAAATGATTCATCTTTAATATTCTTGATAATCGTTATTCTTAATATCTTTCTTAACTTTTTATAGTTTCCTCTTATTAACAAGTCTTTTAGTTTATTTATCTTCCTTTGTATTACTACTCCATATTCTTTCTTAATTCCTATGATTTTGTTTTCTAAATACTTCTTTATTATGTATATTATTCTGTAAATGTCTTCTTGTATCTCTTTAATACCTCCTTCTTTTTATTCCCATTTTTCATCAATATATCTTATTATCTCTTCACATATTTCTTTATTGAAATAATATCCAATGTATCTGCATTCTTTGTTTTCTTTCCTTTTACTTTTCTTTATTAACTCTTCTATGTATTCTATATCAATCTCTTTCTTCTTTTTCTTTCTATTAATCTCTCTAATCTTTTCATTTTCTATATTATCTTCTTCTTTAGTCATTTCTCCTACTTTATTATTAATGTATTCTAGTTTTCTTTTTTAATCCCTTTACTTCTTTT